ATTGTTGAGTTGGCTTTAGCAAATCTTTTGTACCATTTTGATTGGTAGTTGCCCAATGGGATGAAGGGGAGGACTTGGACATGGAAGAGAATTCGGGTGTGAGTCTTACCATCCATAAAAAGTTGCCTCTCGAACTTGTACCGATTTTATACCATCCATGAGTAGATTTATGGCTTAGACTAATAATGGGTATTTTTATATGTAATATATTAATGCTTAAAACTCTTTGTTAATATATATAAGAAAAGGTGAGGAAATAAGTAAGAGTAATTACTAATGAAATAAATAAATAAATAAAAAGAGAGAAAAATGTGCACGACTCTCACATGCGAGTATAGTCCTAACAGTCCGTTTGCACTCCTCTTAGGCCCCTTTCCTGGTCGGGATAGCATTCTTTGGTGTTATTTCCGGACACCCGGTAGGCATAGTGATTATCGCAGTATTATGATAAACATTATGATCGTTTTCCTGCCTCATAACGTATGCGTCCGTATCATCCGTAAAATGGGAGATTCCCTAATGCATGTAACACACCATGAGGCATAAGGTCCCAACATTTTTCTTCATTAAATCATGTAAAACAACCCCTTCCATTTTTTCTTCATATCATTTCATTTTACAACATAGCCTTTAAGGCGTGCATTGGGGTTGAATATTGTATCATTCATATCATACATCGTCTTATGTTATATCATGCACATAACATATTACAAAATATGTCACAACATGTATTATATCGCCAAACGTGTTATGCCATATCATAGTCATATCATTTTATAAACATATCATAATCATATCATATCATTTCCTAAAGATACCACGGTCACATCATTTCATAAACATTTCACACATTCAAAGCATATGATACGTGCAGAATCACAGAACAGGTGTCATCCTAGAAATATCAATTTCTAACCATACCGATAGTAAGACCACTTATTTGATTGGTCTTAGCCAAACTGGCTTGCCTTAGTCCCTCGAATGCTTTTTCACTTATACCGAGGTGCTTCACCCTATTAAATATATTCACCTAATTCGAGTAACTCAATTCGTAACTTAATTTAACTTAAATAAATATGTCAATATTATTTCTCCACTTGGATCATACAACTCAAATATTATTTATTATAATATTATTTTCATATGTATTCTTTCTTTATGTGTTTCCTTTTTTTATTTTTATAAAATTATGTTCAGTGTTCGCATAAAAAAAAATTTCTACATTCTTTTCAGTGTTCATAGTATTTTGGCCAATTGTAATGATTCTTACTTTCTTTCCAAAAAAAAAAAAAGGCTAGATCATAGAACATATAAATTGTTCTTGATATTTAATTTTTAACTAAAATCTAAATAATTAGAATGAAAGAAAATGATGATTTAACTAGCTACATCCCCATGTAAATGAGTAAAACCCTTTTTACCTTAGGTAAATGTGAATAAAACCATTTTTATCCTCAAGTAAATGTGAATAAAACCTTTTCTTGTTTTCTATTTGCTTTTGGAGGAAGGAAGGACGACAGAGGTGCTTAGATTAGTGCAGTTACCATTATTATTCTTATTATTTTTTTCGGTTGTTACAAACTGAATCAAATGATGAGAAATGATTCCGGGGGAAAACAGGGTAAGTTTGTCCAAAACTACCAATTTCCAACGGCCATAACTCGTTAATTCCTTACGAAATTTGATGATTCTTGGCTGGTTAGATTCATCTCATAGAGATCTTTGAACTTGCTGAAGAAATCGGAACTGCCATGGCTATAACACAAGCATCAAGTGAGGGAAAAAGGGCCACGGCTGGAAATCAAGCGTAGATAGAGGTAGAAGACGGTCCACTTTGATCGTTCCGAATCGTATTTATTCTGAAAGCACAAACAAGTAATAGGTCAAGCTCGTAGCTAGCCCAACATTTAGGTCATCATTGGAAAGATACTAAGATTAAATAGGGGAGAATGTCACAATCAACGATACGATTGTGCCCATGAGAAAGTCATCGGGGACAATGGTTAGGTTAAGTGGGGGATAGTGTCACAACATGACTGGAAGAAAAGTAGGTTGTGACCACCACACACAAGACAGACAAGGGGCGACCCTCAAGTGGCGCCCATCCGGCCACGTAAGGACCAAGACTGAATAGTGCCATGATGTGATTGAGGAGGACAGTGCATCATCTAATACACCAAGAGTGTGCATGAAAGCTAAGTCGAGGCATACAAAAAGTTTGAGAGAACGAGGCGACATGAGTGTCGAAGACTAGCTCGAAGAGGGCCAGATAGAGACTCGGGCAATAACCTCAGAAGTCAAGGTTTGGATATGAGTTTCAGCGTGCGACTCAGAAATTAAGTCGTCAGTATGAAAGATGAAAGTCAACCAAATTTTGTGTGAAACAGATACTTGATGGATTATGCACAAGGCCGTATGTCTGCTCACTAAAATGACCTCTACTTATGAGAATTGAAAATTCCTCAAAATGTACTATGGGGGAGGCATGGCGTTAGCTCTCACCCTCAGGCCTAAGCGAGCTACCCTGTGGCACATGCATGTGTCAGTAACGAACGTCATGGAACGAGCAGCTTAGACGTTTTTCTTTGAAAAGGGTCTTTCGAGGACAGTACTAGACGGCACAAGTGTGCCTATTGCGCCCTAGCCCATGTGTCAGAGGTTGGATTATACACCCGCTATTTGGAACGTATGCCGCAAATGGTTTAACATGGACACAGGAGACTTTGATACTCGAGTGAACCAGATGGATGGATGTTTAGGATACCCGGATGAGATGATTGACACATGGGTCAATTTCCAACAAATGTGTTCGAACGAGCCAAGTTGACCGATGTATCCCAAGACATGGGACGACATCACGATTTATGGATCGTGTTGTTGGGGACCAAGATGATAATGAGATGCGACGTGATTGTGTCCCACACGATTGAGTAGCACGCATGAACGTTGTGGTGGCCGAATAAGCTTAGATTCAGCAATTAACTCCTACACAAAGTTTGTTCCAAACGTCCCCACGAATCTAACCAAACAAGAATCATAAGTTTTGCTTCACGAGTAGAAATTCGAGCCTGAAAGTTGCATTCTTACCCATGGTTCTAAGCTCTTTCGTTGGGGTTTATGGGTCATCCTTTTCAAAAATTGGCTCAACAAACTCGTCAATCACGCTTCCCTCCATGAACGTTTCCCTTCAAGATCGTGTCCTAATTCCAAATAAAACGACAGAATCTTGGTTTGTTCCCTTGCCGAAGAGTATGGGTCCTTCTCGAAGTTTCATTAATCTACCTAAACATTTAATATTTGTGGTATTTTGTTTTGGTCTCATTTATTTTTTTTAATTTATTTTTTCTTGATTATTTTGTGGGATTTAAGTAAACTAGAACATCAATTTTGTGATGTCATTCTTCCACTAAGTTATTAAAACCTAACCCAAATAGTTGTATTATTGCATCCGATAATTTTAAACTTTACACTGACACAAAAAAAATTATTGTGGGTTGGCTTAACTAGCTTGTGTTGGTGGGTTATGGACAATTATTTTCATCCACACATATTGATGTTAAATTTAAATAATTGAATGACTGAATTTAAAATGACAAGACAATAAAGCTATAGACAAAACAAGTCGTACCACAATACTATGTAATTATATTTTATTTAAAAAATGGTTCAATAAAAAGAATACAAATTTTGAACATTAAAAAGCTTGTATCCATAGAACATCTGGCGTAAGATAGTAAACAATACCTTCAAAAGTCATCTAAGGTTTTGAAAATAGAATCTAACGTACTGAATTCATAATGACTTTTCTTTCTATCACTTCACTAGGTTTGAGATATTTGATCTGTCACACTTTGAATTTCGAGATATCCAAAGATCGGGAATAACTCAAACATACTATACAATACATGAAAATGAAAAAAAGCATGTAATAGAAAATGAAAGAATATGAAGGAACGGACCACTTTCCAAATGCATTGAGACAGAAGTTGTTGATGATTATTTTTGTTGTTTAGTGGTCTGTTCTATTGCAACTCGTAGAGAGACTACTCCATGAGAACTACCAAGCAATCGAAATTCTGGGATGCGGTTGAATAGGACTAGACTCAATTAACTAGATCTATGAAAATCATACATTCCAAACTTGATTTCATAAGTAAATGTATATATTATTTACTGAAACGGTAAACAAATCTGTTCACGCAAATAAAAACTTTCAAATACAGAAATTATAAAACAAAAATTAAAGTTTGAAACACAATTTCAATTTTTATTTTTCATGCTGAGAGATGATAGCTTGTTGCTTTTACGAAGTGGAATGCCATTTTTTCTTTGGCACAGTAAGAATAATATCAAGAAATGTTTTATAGACCATCATATTTTCTTTTTAAATGATTTTTAATGATTTTTTTATCAATCATTTTTTTAAAGACGAAAACTAAAAAAATTATTTGTTATTTTCATTTAAATAATATATGAAAATGAGAATTGAAACACTTAACGTTTTATTTTATATCTATTTAATCTAAAGAAGAATGACCATTTTTTATCATAATATTTTCCTCTTGTTATTGAGATCTTTCTAAATTTCAATGTCTTTCCTTGATTTCCGTCCATGGCTTCTCCTCATCCTCTTCCTATCTCTACTTTTTCATCATCCAAAAAAGAAAAGCAGATACAAATAGAAAAAAGGCTAATTTTCCTCCAAGCCCACCAAAGCTTCCATTCGTAGGAAACTTCACCAACTTGGAAAGCTCCCACACAAATCCCTACGGCACCTCTCTCACCATTAAGCCTCAGTCTATGTCGTATAGAAACCATCATCACATCCTCCGTTGAGACTGTTCGTGCCCTCTTGAAAACCAACGATTTTCAAAGCTACAAGAGACCACAAACCGATGTTATAAAAAAACTCACTTACAATTTTTTTGATATTGGGTTTTCGCCTCACAGTAATTACTAGCTAGAGATACAAAAAAATTTATATGCTTGAACTTTTTAGTATGAAAAGGGTGTTATTTTACGAACCCATTAGAGAGCACGAAGTTGGTTTGCTTATTGAATCAATTTCACAATCAGCTTCTTGTGAAGCTACTGTTGATCTTACTCAGAAGTCGATTGCTCTCACTACTGGTGTTATTTTTATAATTGCTTTTGGGAAGTTGTTTAAAGTGGATGGATTTAATGAAATTGTGAGTGAACTTGAGGTCCTGTTGGGAAGCTACAGCACTTCTAAATTTTTTCCTATTCCTTTTGTGGGGAAGGTAGTTGATTGGTTTAGTGGCCGAAAAGCTAGACTCAAGAGGATTTTCAATGAGATGAATGTTCTCTTCCAAGAGGTGATTGATGAACATTTTCATCCTGTGAGGCCTAAGCCAAAGCAAGATGATATCATTGATGTGCTTTTGACAATCAGTAAAAAGCAAGTTGAATTTTGCACCGTTGTCATTACACATGAAAGCATCACAGCCATTCTTTCGTAAGCAACTTCTATGCATGATTTTTAGGATTAAATTTTAGTTTAATTTTTAAAGGAGTTATTTGGGCATTTTTGGCTTTTATCTCTTTGCTCATGCATCCTTCATTAACTGGTAACCATCTAACATTTTCCTATTGTATGATGTGCATCAACATAATATAATTTTTGCAGGATTATTCACGAGTTCAATTATTACAGTTTGGGCAATGGCAGAGCTAGCGAAAAATTCAAAATCAATGAAAAAAGCTCAAGAAGAAATCAGAAATCAAGTGGGAAACAAAGGAAAGGTAAGAGAGAGACATAGAAGAGCTTCCATATTTTAAAATGAGAGTGAAAGAGACACTAAGACTACATCCATCCGTGCCCTTCTTAACCTCTCTCTATTATTACGTAACTATTAAACAAATATTTGTTGATTATAAACTTATATTATTATAATATTTACTAAATTGATGAAATTTTAAAAAGAGAAAATATTCCGAAAAATTTCTAGAAATAAATTTTGTGCACGATATTCTGACATTCTTACATTAAGTTATTAAAACCGACCTAAATAATTGTAGTATTGCATATAATTTTACACTATACTAACACAAAGAACGTTATTGTGTACTAGCTTAGCTAGCTTATGTTGATAAGTCATCGATAATTTATTTTCATCCATACAGATTGACGTTAAATTTAAGTATTTGGAATAAAGATAATAACAAACAAAAATATTTTACCAGTAATTATATTTTATAAAAAAGAAAATGGTTCAATAAAAGTAGCCCATATAAAAAAACAATACCTGAAAAAGTAATATTTAGTGACTAAGAGGGTAGTATTGTCCTTTGAGAAATTAACACTCTAAAATTTATTAAATTGTAATTGAGTTTACCCCATTTTCTTAAAAAAAAAATAATAAATTAACGTTTGTTTATATTTTAAAAAGATAAAAATACTTGAGATCGTATATTAGTCTGTTCTATTGCAGCTTGTATCATTCTTTCAGGAAGGCTTCTCCATTGAACTATTTAGCAATCAAAATCTGGTTTGGATAGGACTAGACCTAATTAACTAGAAGACTAAACAAATATGTCATCGTGAATAAAAACTTTAAAATACAGAAATTATAAAAGAAAAAATAAATTTTGATACAAGTGGTGTTTCGATTTTTATTTTCCATAGGATGAGAGATGATAGCTAATTGCTTTTATGGAGTGGACCGTCGTGTTTTGGAATCATTCTTTAGGTTAGAGTAGGAATAATATCAAAAAATTGTGGACTTTATAGACCATCATATTTTCTTTTTAAATAATTTTTTAATCTACTGCTATTAAAGACTACCCCTAAAAATTTGAAAGCATTTCATTGTAATATGAAACCGTTAATATCTTGTTTTACGTCTATTTAATCTAGAACGATCATTTTTTATTCATAAACATTTTCCACTTATTATTGAGCTCTTTCTAAAGTCCAATGTCTTTCCTTCATTTTCCCCCAAGCCCACCAAAGCTTCCAATCATAGGAAACTAGCACCAACTTGGCAGGCTCCCACGTAGATCCGTATGGCTCCTCTCTCAGCTTTATGGTCCTACTGCTCAACCCCTCTTGAAAACTCATGATCTTCAAAGTTGGAGTCGACCACAAAACGAAGCTTTCAAAAAACTCAACTTACAATTTTCTTGACATTGTGTTTTTACCTTATAGTGATTTCTAGCGAGAGATACGTAAGTTGTATTCTTGAGATTTTCAATATGAAGAGAGTGGTAACTTACGAATCCATTAGAGAGCAAGAAGTTAGTTTGCTTATTGAATCGATTTCTCAATCAGCTTCTTGTGGAGTTGTTGTTGATCTTACTAAGAAGTCCACTACTCTAACTACTGGTGTTATTTTTAGAATTGCTTTTGGCATTTGAAGGGATGGGGAAGCTATAGTGCTTCTGAGTTTTTTTCAATTCCTTTTGTGGGAAAGATAATTGATTGGTTTAGTGGCCGAGAAGTTAGATTTGAGAGGGTTTTTAATGAGATGAATGTTCTGTTTCAAGAATTGATTGATGAGCATCTTCATCCTACGAGGCCTAAGCCAAAACAAGATGATATCATTGATGTGCTTTTGCCTATTAGTAAAAAGTAAGTTAAATCTTGCACAATTGTCATTACCCATGAAAACAGTTAAGCAACTTTGATCCCTATTATTTAATGGTTTTTACATTAAATTTTTAGTTTAGTTTCTAAACTTTCAATCCGGTGGTTAACAAGTTTTTGAGCAATATTGAGCCTTTTTTGCTTTGTCTCTATCCTTCATGTTATATCCATTATCTCACAACCATCTAACATTTTTTATTGTATGATGTGCATCAAAAGAAGATATTTTTAGCAGCAATAGAGACTAGTTGAACTTGCGAAGAACCCAATATTGATGAAGAAATCAGAAATCACGTGGGAAACAAAGGAAAGGCAGCAGAGAGTGACTTAGAAGAGCTTACATATATGAAAAATGATAGTGAAAGAGACATTGAGACTACATCCACCGGAACCTCTTCTTGTTCCAAGAGAAACCATTTTCCATTCAAAATTGAAGGCTACGATTTTTACCCAAAGACGATTGTTCAAGTAAATATTTGGGCAATTGGGCGAGACCTCATATGTTGGAAAGATCCATAAGAGTTTCTTCTAGAGAGATTTGCAGAGAGCACGATTGATTACAAATGACAACATTTTGAGTTCTTGCTATTTGGGTTGGTCGGAGGATATGCCCGGGGTTGAATATGGGGTGAAAAATGTGGAGTTAGCTTTAGCAAATCTTTTGTACCATTTTGATTGGATGTTGCCCAATGGGATGAAAGTGGAGGACTTGGACATGGAAGAGAAGTCGGGTTTGAGTCTTACCATCCACAAAAAGTTGCCTCTCGAGCTTGTACCAATTTCATACCATCCACGAGTATTAAGTTTAAAGTCTTATGGCTTTTGTCTAGACTAACAAAATAGACGATGTGAAAATGTTACGAATGAGAAACATAAATGGGATTAAAAGTCCGATTTTCATTAATGTTTACAACTAAGATACAAGCTATCAAATAACTCTTACTCACAGAAAAAATATTCTACTAACCAACCTCGAAAAATAAGATAAAATATATTATAACCAAATTACTAAAAAAAAATAAGGAAAAATCCTAACGGATTACATCTATATAAAATATATTCCAAAACTAATATCTTAAATCAAATTTCATAATACTCTCCCAAGTTGTGTATATCAATCACACTCAACTTATCTTTCATAAAATCAATTTATTGCTTTCTAAAACTTTAGTGAAAACATCTATCAATTGCGTTTTAGTCGAAACATAACATCGTTTGATGATTCCAACTTTTAACTTTTTCCAAACTACATGACAATCTATTTTAATGTGCTTCATACGTTTGTGAAAAACTAGATTGGCTGCTATATGCAATGATGTTTGATTATCACAAAACAACAATGTTGGTTTGGACAGCGGAACTTTCAAGTCTTGAAGAATGTATCTCAGCCAAGTTAATTTTAAACAAGTATTTGTCATAGCTCGATACTCAGTTTTTGCTGATGATTTGGACACATTTGTTTACTTTTTAAACTTCTAATAAATAATTGAATTTTCAAGTAACATGCAAAACTCATAAACAGACCGCCTGGTAGTTCCATAACCACCCCAATCAGAATTGCAATATGCTTTTAATCTTAAGTTGTTTTCATAGGGTAATAGAAGTTCTTGACCAGGAGTACTTTTGATGTATCTTAAAACTCAAACGAAAGCTTGCTCTCGGCGATGTGGGTTTATGTTTTTGGTTTTGTACTATTTTTTAAATCTTAAAGTCTTCAAAAGTTTAAAACAAATACAAAATCATAAATGAGTGTCAAATTCAAGTGTCATTCTTAGATATATTGAAAACCAATAAACTTAGAGATAAGTGGATGGGTCATCAATCATTTATTTTCATCCACACATATTCACGTTCAATTTAAACATGTGAAGGGCTGAATTTAAAACTTCTAGACAATAAGGATATAGACTAAACAAAAGGAAAGAATTTAATAGATTTTTATTTTTTTTTTACTACTAATTTATAAAATAAATAAATTTAAAATGGAATGGGAAGTCTATCTTTGCCTCCACTAAACCAATTAATTACCTTCCTCCACACAAGTTATCGGAAAAAACTCACAAGCACTATAGCTTTCCAATAGCGCCTCAGCTTCACTCACAAGCTTATGGAATCTATCTCCTTTAAACGGCTTCCCAAAAGCAATTCTAAAAATAACACCAGTAGTGAGATCAACAACTCTACAAGAAGCTGACTAAGAAATTTATTCAATAAGCAAACTAACGTCTTGCTATTTAATGGATTCGTAAGATATTACTCTCTTCATATTGAAAATCTCAAGGATACAAATTTTACGTATCTCGCGCCAGTAATCACTATAAGGTGAAAACGCAATGTCAAGAAAATTGTAGTGTGTTTTTTTAAAGCTTTGGTTTGTGGTTTTCATGGGGCACTAATTCATATTGGTTTCTCTTCTTATCCTTTCACTCTAGTGTGGGATATTTTATCTAACACATCCTAAATTTTGAGGCATCGAAAGATCAACAATTGCATGAAAATGAAAGAACATGTAACCGAAAATGAAAGAACAGGAAGGGATGGACAACTTTCCACATCCATTGCATTGAGACAAAAATCCTTGAAGTTGATTTTTGTGATTTAGGTCTATTCTATTGCAAGACCATTGAGCAATGAGCCTCTAGAGTGGGGTTGGATAGGACTAGACCCAATTAACTACATTTATGAAAATTATAGTTTCTAAACTTGATTTCACTAGCAAAGATACAAATATCTACTCGAAGGTTAAATAAATTTGTCCTCACGAATAAAGACTTTAAAATACAAAAACTAAATTTTGTAGTTAAGTAGTGTTTCAATTTTTATCTTCTTATGTGAGAAGATGAGATATTGTTGCTTTCATGGAGTGGACCGCCA